ACCCTTTCTGTCGTCTTAGTGAATATTTTGTGATACGGCATATATATATATATATATATATATATATATATATATATATATATATATATATATATAAGGTGGTCCGTCTAAGTTAAGTTTTGTCGGATTATTCGGTACTCGTTCCCAAAATCAATGCCAACGTTATTGTCAAATTTCATGCAACTCCCAAAAAATCCGAGGAAGATCTTTATGAAGCAAAACGAAAGATTCATAATCGTGTATGACACAATCTTCATGAAGGAGACTATTTTGTAATCCTAAATTTCTTTTAGTAAAAATTATTGACGTTTTCCAAAAGAAAAGACCTGTTCTATCTTGGGTTGTGTAACAAGATTGACCAACAGATTCAGACCTAGATTATATTGTGGAAAAGGATCTGCACATATAAATACTTAGTAACGAGCGTGAAGGCCAACTTGCAAACCTCTCTTGATTCTGTTTTCCACAGAGAAATATTGATTCAGTCGTTAGCACTTACATACACCTCGATCACTCTGTTGGCAACCATTGCTCTGCTGTACTCCGCAATGGTGATCATGAAATGGAAGGTAGGTGCTGCATGACAGAAAGATGATTGCGTTCAATGCACAACGTTTTATGCTGTCAAAGGAGCAATCTCAAAACGATAACGGAAGTTGGAACCACTTTCACTTTACTATAGTATAAATTTATTTGGTTAATATTTAAGGAATCTTCATCTGAGGTTTAGGATATTTGGCTTAGGCTTTTACGATATTGCCATATTTTAGGTCACAATCATTTTGCCATGTAAGCTGGTGCCGCGACACCAAAAGCCGACCATTGAATAGCTATTTTTAGGAACATGCTAAATCAAAAGCAGAGTTGGTTTGAAATTGTGCTTAATAGAAGAGTCGAGAAGTAGCAGATAGCTCAGGCTCTCAGCTAAGGTAGGTCCAACCATCTGGGTTGAGGCCCCACTCGGCCGATATAAAACAGATGCCGGTACGTAAAAGTATTGTTTAGATTTTGTTGAAAAAGTTATTCGTAACCTAACGCGTTTTTATTTACCTATTGTGCAATTCACCACATATATTCTCGGTGCTTACTGTCTCTTGTGTAACTGTCTGGGGCGTTTCAGGTGAACTACCTGACGGGGGTCTTATGTCTCGCGCTTTACGTGATCTTCATCACCCTCGCGTGCCTTTATGAGTTCCTTATGTTCGGTTTTAGCATCCCATGCTGAAATCTTCCAACCTACAATGACCTTGACAAAGGCTGCATTCATACGATGTTTTCCTTCTGTAGAACTCGTGTCGAAGAACTCAATGTGTAACTAGCAAATTTTTATGGTAATCTTTGTTTGTTAACTAATTTATTATTAGGATGTTCCTCAATCTATCGAACGTTTCTGTTGATTGATGTAGCAGGTTTTTCGCTCCAGCTACTCATGCTAATGGCCGGCGTTGAAGAAAGCGGAATCATGTGGCTGTTTGAATGAAGTAAAATAACAATCTAGCATTTGTTATCGGTCGCAGTTGTGATACCTTGGTGATTCACTGCCACGTGGCTGTAGCTAACTGATAAGGTCTTTCAGATGGGTAATTTTCAAAATGAAAGAAATAAAATGAGAACTTTTACAAATTTGTTGTACACCTTTAAACGTATGGTTTTTTTTAGCTAATCGCTAAATTGAGCATTTTTATCGCCGTAACGTTGTTGAATGTGAATCATCAATAGGTTTGTTTAGTAACAAAATGTTGTCATTTCAAATTTGACGGACACACAAATAAATGAATATATCTATTCAGTATGTATATTGTTATTTTTATTATTTTTCATTTACGATTAGTCACTTGAAATCTTTATAAGCTTGGATCAAGTTCCATTTCGATTAACTTATTAAGTTTCAGTCTGGCACTTCAAAATTTCTTTGTTCAATTTTACGCTTGTTTCGCACAATATTTACAAAAGCGGTGGCAATGAAACTTCTTCTTCTTTGAAGAATTCCTTTGATATGAACATCACACGTAGTACAATCATGGAGGAGGCCGTACGTTGCGATTTAGTAAAATATATTTAACAAGAAAGGATGATGATCATACTTTCTCCGGTAGTCGCATCTTCCAAAGCTCTATGAATGACCCAATCAGTCCAACGTCCGATTCGCCTACGTTCTTACGGTATATGATAATAACCGCGTTCTTCGTATTCCTCACTTCTCAGGCACGTTGCATGTACATTAGATCGGTTCAGACACTGAACTCAGGACAGCAATTGGACGTCATACATCGCTAATGCCTCGTATATTCCGCAACTTAATGTGGCATGTAGGCGAATTCTACAAATCTGGACTGTTTCATCGGGATAGATTTTTGAAAACTTCCAAATACGGTAGTAGGTAAACGCTTGATTTGTGTTTAGCCCTTCGTCCACAGAACGGACAACGAAGCCCGCACCGTTTAGTGCTAGTGGCACATGAGTTTCGGCTGTATACACGGGCAAAACTGGCCTTGATGCCCTCGTCGGTGCAGATGAAGTTTTCGGGGATTGCTTGACTTATGGGGCTCAACCTCTGGTGCCGCCCCGTCTCAGTTCGTGTATAGTGGCATGTATGTAATAAAGGCCGGCGTGCGTTCAATACAAATTTACTGATGAACCCAGACAACGTTCGCACCACCTGTAGTCGATGTATGACGTAGATAAAAAGACAGCTTGCCGTCGTACTCTACCATTCCTCTGGATGAGAGCCGTGATCCGAAATGAACTGGATCACCCTCTCATACAGAAGACGTTTGTTTTCAAACTGTTTAAAAAAACTCAGAGAAGTCATTGTCTCTTCGGTGGCTGCCATTGAGAGAGTCATAGGAAAGTTCTGAAAACTAGGCGTGCACGCACAGAAAATGATTATTTCTTACTATCTCGAAGGTATCTGTTACTAAGTAATAATGATTGGTTTTTCCGGCATACTGGCCATCGACAAGGAGCCCTTGACCTTGATTGCTTTTGCGAATCTCTTGTCAGTTCTCTGCAGAAGAGGACGTGGCCAATAATCGACCACTGCTCTTCAGAGAACATCATATTGTTCTTTTCTTATAGAGATCTCAGATATACATTGGTCAGGCTATCAAAATAGCTGTCTATGGCACGATCTCTACGCCCAGGAATATGGCTAACGCCAGTCAGCAGTGAAATTTGATTTGACGAATTTTCTCCCATTTTATCGTATCTAAACATCTCCACAATTTGGCGTATGAGACTTAGTGGAGACGACGCGATACACGCCGAAATGCCCGTCGATCCCTAATGGGTCGGAGATTTCTTCTGCGTTAAATCCAAATGTGTTCCTTAGGGAGGCACTTTTCAACGGGCCTCTGAAAGTACTCGACATTTGGTTTCGTGCTTTTTCCGCGCGAAAAATTCCTTCATAGAAACATTCCAGATATCCCACGTGAAACTGAGGGTAACAGTTTTGCCTCGTTTTGTTTGCTGGTCCAACATGATTGCGGAAATATCACTTTCGTCCTAAACATGAGCGGTACTAGCGATGTCTGGCATGCTGGCGCCTCTATACAGAAATACTTGGTCATAATTTCGCGGTCATGCGGGTTATATCGGAAATGAAATACTTCTATCTACTGAGAACGAATTATTTACGAGCCTTATTGAAAGACAGAGGATGTCATTGAGGATGCTGAAGCTCCGAATTCACAAGAAATACAATTTCTCCATCCACGACTTAAATACGGCTCACACATAGGATACAGCTGTCTTAGTGAAAACAAATACTACTATGAAGATAATCAACTTATTTATAATAAAAAGCAATATTGCGAATCCTCGAAGTGCCATTAGATGCTTTGTTCTCTTACCATCTCAGAGGAGAGACAAAGTGTGCAATGGTAACACCAACAGGCGCATTTTAAGGATTAGTGGCCATATTCAGATATATCGTTTCCTTTGGTTATTGTCGCCGTGAACAAATACGGATACGTTTGGCTGCTGCTCATAATTAGGTCAATGCAATGTAGATAATACAATCTATCTCGCAAATAGAGCTGACAACTTGCGTGGGCCGTGCGAATTATTCGACCGTTAGCAAGCACTATATTTTTTGGGCTCAGATCTAGCTGGATGGGGCAGGCGTGGTTTATCCAAACTTTTTTCATCATAAGAATCCAGTTTAAGTTATTGGAAATTGGCTAACTTCTTGTTGAAAGCTACGCGGGAACTTGAGTGGCAAGCCAGTACGGCAAAGGCGCCACAGACGCGATTAAAGCGATTAAAACATGATAAATCTGTAAACAAAGCGTATTTACCTTCGCGTATAGCGGCTAACGTTGAAAAAACATCAACAGCATCAAGGTAAAGTTTATCCTTTCGCGGTTAACGGCTGTTGCGCCTCTCATGTAAGTTTGGGATGACTAATTTAAAACAACATAAATATTGGCCATATGAATGGATAGCTTTCGAACGGGTCGCTATTCAATTTATCCGACGCCAACTGGCCCGTTCAATCGATCCATAATTTCACGGTCGATAAACTCTCTGTTGCTTTTTAATAAGTGATAAAGGGGACGAGATCTTCGACTCTTTCATATCCACACATATAAAAAATACATCTTTTTACATAAATATATGTATATTAAACAACTTCCCAATGAACGAATGTTTAAAAAAAACCTTGTATTTATAAAAGAAAGAAGAACTGTTTCTTACGAGTCTGTTCTACATTTTATAATTTAACATTTTAATAGCTCAATTACTCGAATATGGGAATTATAAATAAAGGTTGACATGAATCCTATGTATTTCCATGTTATTCAACCTCATCATCTCGGGTCCTGTAACTTTCTGTTTGTCGCTTACTCAGACTATATAAATAAAATTTATCCGTACAATATTTAGTATAAAAGTTCATTTAATTCCAGTCACGCTTCAGACAACTCTGACGTAGCATGGTATTACTAAAAGTAGATTTCTTTTTGTGAGGAAAACTTAATCCTTTGATTGGTATACGTGTAACTAAGTAACAATGACATAATGCAATTGATCGTCCATTTCAGGAAGTCTGTGGACCGTATGTATGGACCTGTATGAGCACGGCGAGTCTTTAAGCAGCGATTTAGCATTCCCCGTTTATAATGACCTCTTCCGAAGTTTCTATCCGCTGTATTCTTGGGCATACTGATGATGCTTTTCGACCACAAAGTCGCGGTCTTATATATATATATATATATATATGTGTTTTATTTGAATTTTGCTTTCTCGTATTATATTTTAAAAAATAAATATATTTTTATAACTTTCTTGAGTAGTCGTAGTTGTGCTTTTTGTCGATAAAGTCGAAAGCGTAAATTCGAGACTCTTATTTACGCTGCTTTGTGAAACTTATGCTGATGTTATAACTCAACTTACGGAAAATTGAAAAAGCTTTTAGCGGTAACATTGGTCTCGCGCATTTATATACTTGCGCCATGCATACTGCTGCTCTGTAGTGCTACGAGACATAACATCGAACCACTTATTCGAAAGTTTTATAAAAAAAAAAAATAACAAAGATAACGACGTGCATTAAAATTGATGTGTTTATGATGATAGATAGATAGATTTGGTCATCTTATCTTCGGCTTATCGCGCAATCCTAAGCTGGCTATTTTGAAAAAAAAAAACCCTGAAGAAATCTCGTCTTCTTCTTTCTAGCATGCAAATAACTTTATTTTAACGTTTTCACTTCATTTTTTTTTGATAATTCATTACTGTTATTAATGTCTATTTTGTTTGTTCGTAAGCTGTCTGAACAGTTTTTTTTTTCACACTGTGCACGTGATCATATTAATCTGATTTTATCGTCATTGTATTTGCTATCAGTCTCTTCCAGTGCTTTCTGGCTGTTTCTTTTCTATTTGCCGCCTCCGTTACTCTTCATTGTTATTTGATTATACCGAAAATAATGCGGCCGCTCCGATCACAGATATCGTTGCTCTATTTCGCAACGATTACTCGTTATTGATAAATACGCTAGACATCGGTAAACATTGCGATTCATCTACAGTAAAGAACACAATAGCACAATTTAGGCACAGCACGGTCACCACTCGTTCCAGATCTTTAGCAGACAGTTTCGTTACGCTATGAATGGATGAATTTTACTTCGTTGCCATATATGATGATGATCTTGATTTTGCATGTGCAAAATCGAACACGAACAATCGCTTCATTGAGATCGCCTTGGATAGGTAGACGCAGCCAGTTCTCCCTCTTTAGTGGCTCGAACCAAAATATCTCGTTGAAGTCATTCAGCGCTGGTTTTGTCGAACGCGTTGAGCGCCTCACATTTTCGACGCTCTCGAGTCTCGCTGGATACTACTTGAAAACGCAAGCTCCATATGTCTAATGCTAAAATCAGCGGGCAAGGTCAGATTGATATAGAAGCAATGGTCGACCCAGTCAGTAATCATTTTTTCAACTGGACGATTTTTCGCATAGTTAAGTTCTCTATCAGCACAGCATCAACAACTGAGACTTTGTTATATCGTACTAGCTTCACCTAATTCGATTATATTTGCTACAGCATAGTAGCTTTATAACTTTACTTATTCTGACATGTGATCATTTATCATACGTATCCTTCTATCCCTGTATCGTTGATCTAACCAGTCCTGTTTCGTATACTTTTTTTCGTTTGCTTGTTTATGTCTGCGTTCCTTATCTATGCTAGGTTGTTGTCCATGTTATTGTTGTGGGTGTTGTTTAATGGCGGTGTTATTTCCTACATCATATCACTGTGCTTCATTGTTTCAACTCAGTCTATCAAACAGATACTTTATTTGGCTTGTTAATACACATTCTGTAGTTGGTCTGCTATCAGCCGTACGTGCTATAGTGTTATTACTTGCACAGTAATTAGATGATGCTCTGTGCGGACAGGAGTGTTCTAGATCATTATCATTTATTAGTCATCGGCGTATCATTCATTCGATCAGCCGGACCTTTGTTTGTTTGCCCTCACAGCTTATTATTGATGAGGAGTCCAACGATGTCTACGTATGCCCAGTATAGATGAGAGTAACCCATCATTGAACCCACACCAGTGGGTTCAATGATGGGTTACTTCTCTGTACCTTCTACCTTCTTCTGTACCTGGGTACCTTCTCTGTACAATAAGTACTATGCTACCATAACAATCAATTAAAATTGCCTAATGGTAAACGACACTTCCACAATGATCATTCAAGGTGCCTAACGTTGAGAAGAACAATAAAGTGATAATTTTAATAACATTTTCTTCTTTTTTCCGTAGTTTCTAATAGGAGGGGGTCGTAGACGAAACATGTTCAAGTGATGTAAAATAGCTTATTTCTGGATTGACCATGAGACTTACAATAACGCTGCGGTATTTTTAGTTTAGAACAACAACAACAGCAGCAGCAGCAACAACAACAACAACAACAACAACAATGATAATAGTAATAATAATAGAATAAAGCAGATATGATCATCTACACCATTGAAAGGCCTCTATTAATTAAATGTTGAATCGCTTCTGAATTGTTGGCTTAAGTTTATACAAAAAAACAAAAGCTAAAGTAATTCACAATCTAAACCGTCGATAGATATGTATGTCGGCGTGCGGCGGGAACAAAAAACAGCTCACTTCAACCGTGCTTTTACCTAATAGTAATTAGTGTTACTATTATTAATGAGTGGCGGTATTAAACAATGCCGAACTAATGAATTTTGAATTTAATATTGACGCACACCCCTCTATATCTAATGTGGTCATGTAAGCAACATGACGGCCTGATAAGTACGTGACGTCCGCTGTTCTTCTTATACCATTTACCCGAAGTTCGTACGTTTCACGTCTTCTGCTTGACAGTCTAATTAGCAACCGGTGGCTTTCCCGTGTTCGTTACTCTAAAACAACTCTTCGTAGGTGGAGCACTATATTCTTCACGTGAAACTCAATGACTGTTCACATTTATCGTCGTCTCTCCTCAGTTGAACCTATCCAAAAACGCTTACCTCGTGCACCCACGAAGCCAGGAACTCCGCCCTTTTTACCACGAGCCCCTGCACAAGTAGATCAGCACAGAAGTCATATAAGTACAGTTAGATATGACATTCAAATATATGTAGGCTAAAATTGATTACGATTGTTGTTACTATAATTAGTGTCGTATATTACAATATTCGTCAGAATAAAAAACGGCACTCATGAGGACAACGCTTGCTAAAAGATTATTTCACGGCTGAGAACTAGTTCCATTTGAGGCCTTCTGATATACGTAGAAAGGCAAAAAGCATTCCATAGCCAGCACTCAGAAGGATAAGTCCTTGCAACAAAAAACCTCTTCATCTTTCCGAGCATTTGGAAGGTTATGAGAAAGTGTTGAAAGTTTGCCTGGCTCCTAGATAAAGTTCTTAACGAGACAGGAAATCGATTTTGAACAGGAGTGCTCGACCTAAAATTGTAAAGCTAATTTTCATTGTGCTAGCGAATAGCCAGTATCGCTTTCAGATTGACGTTTTTATTACATATGGTGTAGAAAGTGTTTCTTTCAGGTATTACACGGCATGACGGTCTGAGGAAAATGCCGAACTTGTGATTGATATGGAGGAGCACGGGAAGACGTCAGATCTACGCGAAAATCATAATTCTCAATGAGTCAGGTAATCTACATCGTACCGCTGTGCATCATCATTGTCATTGTTAGTAGTTTCTATGGTTATTTTGTATATTGGATACGACAAGAACAAAGTCATACGATTATGCCGAAGATCTAAACTCTATTAATGTTATTATATTTCACGAAAACGCAGACCGTGCCAGTTGGTGGCCTGTGAAGCTGTGCTCGAAATGTACACTCAAATCAACGAAAACAGTATCGCTTTCAGCGTTATTTCCTTTAGCGTACTAAGGCCGGCAGCGCTCTAGGTATAACTGAGACGAAGAATCATTTTCACATACACTGATTTTTTGTGTGTCAATAAGTTTTTAGTCCTCCATAAGTAACGAGCATCAACGCCACTAGATAAGTAGCAGAACTTCGCCTGATTATTGAAAAGAGAAGCTCCTAATCCGGGGCTATGTTTTTAAAAATCGGGGCTCTAGGTCATATATTCTGGAACAGTAGAACCTCCACACTCACCCACAAATCCAGGTGCAGGGCCGCCGATTGACCTTTTTGCGCCTCCGTACAGCAAATCATCGTAAAGGTATCGAGCCTGTTGAGATGAAGGAAAAATTCTCGACAAGATGTTCAATAATTTTGTCTAAAAAGAGAAAACAAAAAATACTAACCTTATTTTTCCTCCTCATTCGATGTATTCGTCAGCAACACAAGCCTGACAACGATTCATTTGGTTAGGGAATAAAGATAATATCAGTGAGGCTACGTAACCCTTCGATCGAAAGATACAGCGGGCATATCATAGCATCTGGAAAGTTAGTTAATTTTCTTAACTAAACTGAAAATAACCCGGCAAGGCTGGCGATTGATTACGTAAAAGAGGTTAGCCTTACCTTAAGTCATAATTTTACTGATTGACTTTATCTATTAAAATAAAATTAAAAATTTCACAATACTGTTTTTCAGATCGTTAATTCCTGTTCCTGCCTGATTGAAACAGTTAGCTTTGTCTAGCTTCGATACAATTGTCCCGATGATGTCGTAGTGAATAACGTGCTTGACTGTCAAGCTTGGTAAGTTTGAATTCTAACATATACACATCTCGCTTCGTGCTGGACACCAGTCGTCTGTCTGAAAGAACGCCTAATGGCGGTACGGGACATAAAACTAGAAACATTTAAAGATATTAAACACAATTAGAATACGATAAGGGACTCGTATAGTTGGCCGCCCTCAAGACTATCTTTTTGGCTGAAGTTTCTGTACGAAGATACGTAGAGAAATTCAAATCGGGAAAATTATAGGGCACAATGGGAGCGCTTGGCCCTGATTTACTTGTAAGGCTGAACGTCTTTTACCTCTGTTAGGCGTTCCGGAGAAAGAGTTAAGTCATATATGTAGGTTATGCACAGAAGGGTGTATTTACTGCTATTGTTGCTATTATGTAAAAACGTATGTCGTAGTTTTAGCCGAAGTTTGATCACTTCCTCACCGCCGAAGATTTGTCTAGTAGTTGTGTACGTTAAAAATAACCATCCCGCGTCGAAATAAAAAGATCCTGTAGTTAAAAATAGTGCTCACAACTGTATGTAATTCTTAGCTTGCCTCAGCTGTGAGTACCGCTGCAAACAATGCAAATTTGTTACTTTCCTATTCAACCTATTAATGGGTGGCTAGGGAGAGGTAGCGCTTGGACGCGAATAACTGTCATTCTCGCCAGATAAAACAGAAACGTGGTTCCCTTTATCTGAATTTCAAGCATGACCTTTTTGAACACGAAAGTGAGTATAAATAGTTAACCAATCAATAATAAATTAATGCTATGTCGTCGAATAAAATGTATTTATTCCCAAAAAAGTGTCATATATATATATATATATATATATATATATATATATACAGGATAAGGCGAAAGTCCCTTGAATCTTTATTTGAAATATATGCGATATATAGAGATACAACGCATATCTATCAAGTGGTTTTGGCCTTACCTGATGTATATATTAAATCATTTTTCACCATTATAATATTAAGACCCGGTTTCTGTAGTGGATAGTATTAGGCACAATGGTTATGTCGAATTTACTTTTTGCTTTTCCAACCTCAACCTATTTTCAACGAATACTTTTCCTGAAAGCTATGTGTAAATGTAATACTGTATACATGTTTTTGCGTAACCTTATCGTTTAATCAACTCGGATAATAGGATAGATAAAAGGGTTATTTTGGCCTTCAGCAAAATCACAGTCGGTATAGTGGAGGTCCACGATATATACACGGCACAATAGTACGAACCGACCTTCACAATTAATGTTAGCAGAGTCCCGCGACCAATTGCTCTACCATGTGTAAATCTGCAGAGGAGGTTTAACAGTAAGGGTGACCTCCTTGAAAGGCCCTGAAGCGTTTGTCATATTTGCTCCTTTACAATTATAAGTTCGCGGACCTCGAATGACTAGTTACTCAAAGAAGTGGAAGGTAAACTTGTTAGTCTAGTGCAGTATATGTTCAAACTGGTTTTTGGTCGTGACAGAAAGATTTATTTGGCAATGATCATATCATGTAGTTGGTATCATGTGCATGGGTTACGTCTAGCATACGTATTAACGCCAAATGGACAACGGCTACAAGGATATCAAACAACAATTCGATGCTGACTTACTTTTTCTTATCCCTAAGAAGTTTTAGCTATGTATATCTGAATATACTTCATACTTGAATACAAGAATATATGTAATTGCACAGGCCGTGAAAAAAGGAACCGTATATTTATGGCAACACCTGTTCTAGCTCTTCGTTGTAATGGGGCTGTTCGGTATGCGCGTGCATGCTCATGCGATGAGCAGACCTTGATAAGCAACCCTGGCACATGGGTGTATACATTATTCCGGCTTTTGAAAAAAGTGTACGAAGGCGGCAAACAGAGGTCCAAAGGAATTTCTGGGGTATAATGGCATAATCTGTTCCACGTTTGTCAAAGTCTGACGGGCAGACTGACTATCTAGTCACTTGGACATTTCGAAAAATTAACCGATTTCAGAAATCCGGAAATGAGCGTTGAAAAAAATAATTATTTTTTGTTTTACAATACAATGATTCATTCGATGTCATTTTAGCGATGTTCTTTTCAAGTTCACTTTTTGCGTCATGACTTATTTGGAACACGTGTAATCAGGCAATAGAAATCAGCTTATATTAACTGATAACAGAAGATTACAAAGAGAAAAAATATTCTATTATCACAGTAACACAGATGCAGTAAACGTTAGTATACTAAGGACAACTTGGTAAGCTGAGTGACTCTATCTAAATGTGGAAATCTACTGGATTGTAAAGAAAAGTACGCTTACTCGCAGGCGGTGTTTCTCAGTGGCTACAAAAAGCGGTTTAGTCTATTTTTTGTCTAAAGTTTATTTGTTTTTCGTTGGAAACCGCCATTAGCGCTTTGCCAGTATCATAACCTATATGTTTTCTGAAACTGAAAATTGTGACTTTTTATTAGACTTTTATAGACGGATTTATGTGACAAACATATAATGTGAGGTTGGTTTTTACGCCTCAGTGCCATGAGCAGATGTATGCGAAATTTCTGCAAGCCTCTTTGTACTTTCAGCGCCCGTACGACGAAACAGTCATCGGCTCGAATGTAAGAACAATTTCGTGCTACGTACCGTGCTAAACGTCATCCTTACCAGTCGACGTGTATATGAGCGTAAGCGTTTTGTCGATGACACAAAGAGCGCGTGCATCACCTACCTAACTATTTCGGTGGTAATTTGCCGCCCTAGTTTCGCCTTTCTTATGGTTCGTCGTCTCCGACTTGGGACAACGTCTTTAGTGCCGCTGTCAGTTTGAATCTAATGTTGTTTACAGTTAAAATTAATGGGGCTCGCATATGGTGAGTGCGTCATCCAGAACTTATATTTCGTTGCACATTTCTACTCATACTACTAGGAAATATCGTAAACTGGTCCTGATTTCGAGTAAGTCAGGACTTTCGACTACATAAATAAGGTTTGGCGACGACATCTTTCGCGTTACAATGCTTTAAGGATAGGCTCCCCACATTTCATGACGCAATTAAGATTATTAAGACTGGCTACAGTATTAGCAGAGTTCATAATCTGGCTATAACTTAAGCATGTTTTAAATTCGCACATTTGCATTGAAAAAAGTCAAGACGTACTAAAAGATGGTTGGGGATGAGTATAAATTGCATTAACTATAATTGTATTGTTCAGCCATGAAAGTCACTTGAGCAGTTCTTTCATTTTCAAACAACTAGTTTTTTCACGGCAGCCTTAGTATTTTATGAGTTCGTAGACGGCCTTGTTAGCGCACTGACCACAAACAATCTGAGACACATGCAGACTTCGTTTTTTTTGTGTTTTAGTAATAATGTCTTTATTAATTTATGAAAACTCACTATTACAACCTTATTATTTATTAAGCCTTATTTTTATAATAAAGCTTATTATACTTAGGAGGTGAATAATCCTTCATTTATCAGTTCTAATATCAAATGGCAGTAATCAAGCCGATAAACAACGATCAGTCTTTTCTTGAAAGCATTTTTAGTTGTGATTTTTTATCGAGTTCGCTAATTCTATCCTCCAACGAAATCAACGAGGCTTTGTTCCTTATACGCGCTACATATTTTCATCCGGTGTTACGCACAAATTAATAAGTTTTTCCTTCAAATGATATTAAACTTCTTATATTTCATAGAAATTATCTTGTAATAAGCCTCTGAACAAACTCTGTGGAATGAGAGATAAGAAATTGGTGTCGGGTGGCGTCGCACAAGCGACTAACGACATCGGTCATCGTTGTCTTTCCATCTCTCAGGTTTGAAAGTTTTACTTTTTCAGAATCCTCTTCTATAATAGCCGTTTCTACCCGTCACTGTTTCAAATTTAACGCGCGGGAGTGACTTTTTACATAGACCCAGCAGATGGGAAATACTATGTATAGATTCTGTTGAGTGGAAGCGCTAAAGCATTATTTGTTTAAAGCTCATCCAAGGCACAGACGACAACAAAGGAGTATGCACCAGGTACTGAGAATCGCCTACTGCGATAAAAAAAAAAATGCGCGACGTTACCAATATGAATTGTGCTACTAAGTTAAGTTGTAAGCTTTAATTTCCCCTAAAAGGAGATGACGTATTACCGTGTAGGTTACGTATACTTCTTATATTCTCCAGAAAATGTTATAAAATGCCTGTACAGCGTGAGTGTTTGATAGAGTTCTGTTAAAAATGAAATGTCTATATACGTAATAGGCTATAAAAGTAACACATAAAAGTAAACACTCAGTATGTTGATATTATGAACGTTCTGATAGTTTCAATGCCACATATATGTCTACTCTAAGATTATAAGGAAATAGAATAAAAAAATGACAGTTTAAAGTATATCTAATTATCCGGATATTAACCAGACGAGAATTGCTGAGTCACATCGTTACGAAATCCATATTACTTTTGAATGAATAAGCTTTATATTGCTACATTCAGTAATGTCACCTACACTTTGGCGGTGCACATCAGCGTACTAGAAACAACCAAGTAAAATGATTTACCGACGCCTTTGCACCTAGAAACCTAGGTTAAACTTAGGGCGTCATCTGACAACATAAAGCTAGCCTAACAAAGCATTACGGCTATCTGGTATAGCTGCCGCTGTGCGCGACACCGCTCCATTGTCTCCAATTGCACCATAGTCCATCATCTCCAATTTTTTTGTTAGAACGTTTGGTAGCGTCATCATTTTACGTTTAAAGTGGATGTTTCCTGGGAGGAGCTGGAGTGAGAATAGAGAGTGACTAGGAAGCAGTAAGAACGCAGCGAATATACGGAAGTATTCCGGTACTAATAGTGACAAAAAACGACAACAAGCGAGCGATCTTGCTTTTTACTAAAATCTAGGTGCTGTCTGCTGTTGACTCGCGCGTGCATACCCTAAAGATTACCGCACCTTAGAATTCTAATAACAGTTATGAACTAGGATGCAATAGTAAAACACATTTATTTCTCGCAGGCCGCCTTTTAGACAAACGCAGACTCGAACCCGCCTTCGATTCTTTCTGCCTGGACGTACCGTTCAAAACTCACTGGAGTCCTTCGACTTTAACTAAGGTGTAACATCGCTAATTTCGCGTGGCTAGAATATACGGCAGACATAGTTTTCAGGCTACTTTGCTTGCTCGACGGTCAGATCTATGTCTACAGCTGAAGTAGCAAACGTGAGGTAGAACAACGGCGGAATTGGGGAGGACTGGGTCGATGCAGGCTAACGGGTGTGAAACGCAAGCAACTTCTGGGGTAATCGAATTGAGTCAATGAAAAACTCTCTAAGATAATTCAGAACAGAATCAATCTAGCGGGAGATAATATTGTGGCTTGTGTACGTATAGATATGCAGATCTCTAACTATGGGTGGCGTTCTCAGCGCAAACATGGCACAAAGAACACAATTAGCAAAGTATAAGTGGTAATTTAAGTATAAGAATTGAGTCGGCAAGGTTATAAATGAAACTAGACGACGTAATTAAAGCTCAATGATTTCTTCGAACTCGTACGATTTTAGGGCATATTTTTTTAGAGGAGTTCTGGAGGATGAAGTTATTCACTGACAATTACCAGGAGGACATCTTGCCTAGAAGACTGGGATAGCATGAGTGTCACACTTTGCAAAAGAAAGACTTTCTTCACGAATGACGTTTTTCGCGTAAATACTTTTAGAAGCTGTTGAAAGAGCCGTGA